CTCGCCACTGGGAGGTCCCCCTCGCCGTGCTGCCACCGCCACCTTATCCCTCCAGGCACAGCTATGAGCATCTGCATGCATGCACCCCGCTCTCTCTGGGCCCAGGCGTCCACTGTCACAGCACGTGAACCCCGTGCCCACATCTCAGCCCCGGGCAACTGTGGGCAATCCAGGAGGAGGCCAGGACCACAGGTGCAGCAGGGGGGAGGCGGAAAATGGCCTGACGGCTCCATTTACCCTACAGGGAGACTCTGAGGGTGATGGACAGGATTTCAGAGTTGGATGTAGGGGGAGCCTAAGGGAGGGGGCTCCTGGCGAAGAGGCCCCCAGTTCAGGGAGGCTGGGAAACCAGCTGGCCACTGTGGCCTTTAGCGCAAGCCCTGGTCCCTGGGGTCTGGGCTGGGCTGTCAGGGCGCTGGTCTTGGGTTCCACCTGTGTGGGTGGGTGCTCCTTTAGCTCACCAGGAGACTTTGCAAAGTGGGGTTCTTCAGGCTAAATCCGGTCTGTCCATGTGTTTTAACTCAATTTTTAAAGCTGTGAATTAGATGAAGTCCAAAATCATGGAGAACTGTAAGTGAAAAAATCTGGATTTCCTTTTTTCTTCCCCCCAAAAGACCTCAGGATGCCTGGGCCCACATGATCCCTGCTGGGCGTATCTCTTGGAGCTAAGGAGTGATCACCCCCTTTGTTGTGGCAGGGGCGCCTGCCCCCTACTTCTCCCACGGCCCCTTCTGCTCTGCAGAGTCACTCAGCTTTTCCCACATCACCTGCCTGGTCCTCTGGGCATTTGAACCTGCAGTTCCCTGCTCCATTGCATGCTGGGTTTACCCTCTCCTGGCTTAGAGATGCTTTTGGGATTTTAATGTAAGGTAAAGACCTGTCTGGAGAGACTTGCGGTATTTCTTTCTCACAGGTGCCTGCACGAACAGGGGGCCCCAGACTCCCTAAAGCTGTTTAGAGCCTGGACCAAAAGATCAAACACCTGCTTTGAGAAAAAGGATCGCTCAGTATTTTCCAAACTTCACTGGCAGGGACACTACAGTTTCTAAAGCACACCCCTTCACAGTTTATAACGCTGTAGAGGCAGGACTGGCCACAGTGCAGGTTTTCTGATCCCATGCAGACCGGGTAAAGGAGGAGTCAGAGTCCTCAGTAGTTTTGCAGGTTTTTTATTTGGGGTTCACCAGGCATATGGCAGGCAGGGGTGCTGGCTGGGGGGCTGGGAGGCTGGCAGGCCTCCCAGCCCCCAGCAAGTCTTTACTCTATCTGAGCTCTCTGGAGTTCGTTCTGCTGCTTTTCGGCTTCGGCTTCTGCTACTGCTTTCTCTGCTTCGGCTGCTACTGCTATTGCTGCTGCTCCTGCTTCTTCTGCTGGCGTCCCTGTGACGCCGCCCTTAAAAAGCACAGTCTTAGCTCAGCTGAATCCCATCTACCTCTGCCCACACCCTACTCCAGGTGCCGCCATCAGGCATGCGTTCAGGACAAGGATCCATCATCTATCCTGATGGCGGAAGGGCAGAAAAGCCTGATATTTTCTTTAACCTACAAACGCACACCCCTTTCTGTGCAGAGTGGGCTCTGTCCCCCCTTCACCCTTGCCAGCGCCCCCTTCATCACCTGTTCTCAGACCCTGCATACGCAGGCCGGCAGGGGTCAGTGGCCCCCCTCCCAGGGGAGATCGGGGTGCAGGGACCCCGAGTGACTGAAGCAGACCCACACAGCTGGGGCTAGAGCCCCACTCACCTCACGGGTCTTGGCTTTGGTCTTCGCCTTCATTTGCCAGCCAGTTATAAATAGCTCAAAGAACATTTTATTTCCAGCCTGGAAGGGACACGGACCGTCAGAAACCCCACGACAACACTTCACTGATGTCTTCAAGCGGGGGGGATGAGCAAATAAACTTTCTCATTTGCCCAAAGCAAGGCTCAATGAGCTGACATCCTGGACTCTGGGCCTCCTCTTTGCCCCAGTGAATGGGGGTTCGAGTTTGGAACCCAGAGGACCTCAGGCTATGGCCCCCACTGCCTCCCCCTGCCCCCCACCTCTGCTGAACTCAGTCAAAGCCCAGCGGAGGGAGGGTAAGGACAGCCACGGCCCCTCCCCACCCTTGGCCTGGAGGAAACCGCGTGAACCCAGCAGGCAGATGCGGGGAGGTAGCTCCTACAGGCCCTGTCTGAAAAGGGTGAGCAACTCTTTCCTCGCTGCCTGTCAGGGCAGAGGCTGAAGGGAAAGCTTGGCTCCTGCAGCTGAAGCTTTCCAACAGAGGCGCAACCAGCCAGCCCTGGCAGTCAGAGAGAGGGGGTCGTGTTAGTATCCAGGAGATACGGGGTGCTTTTCGATGTCATCATGGTCAGAGGATTCAGAAACAAGCAAAAGGAGCCCCAGACTGGCTCTGTGGAAGGAGCGACTCCCACAGCAGAGAAAAGGGAACTTGGTTTTAGCTGAGCCTGGAACACAAGGCCTGGGGCAGAGGCTTGGCTGTGAAGGAAGCAAATGTTCTTGCAATGCCCCTCCAGAAAGAGCCTTGTCACACCAACTTTACACACCTACACTCTGAGAGCTGCCTCCCTGCTGCTCTTCAAACAGGAATCAGTGCTTCTGCACCCCCTTGGTGGTGAACGTAGGGGTGTGGGGAGCCTCAGGCACTCACTGGCAGTCACAGTGGAGTATGTGGCTGGGCCTGGCCTGGTGGCCTGGTGGTCACCTCTGTCTTATCACCTCAGGGAGCAAAGCTTGGAATAGAAATAATAAGTAGAGGAAAAAATGATGGGGAGAGGGGGAGAGAGAGAGAGAGAGAGAGAGAGAGAGAGGAGCAGAAGGAGCCTGACATTGTGTAGACCTCAGATGCAGGGAGATTGAGTCCTGAAGGTACCACTTGAGCACCTGGAGCCAGCCATGCCTGAAGCCCACAAAAAAAAAAAAAACCTCCAGAATTTCTTATTTCAGAGTGGAATTTGTGTAACTTGCAACTAATAGTCTTAACTCTTAAACTTATAATCTCCATTTATAAAGATTTATTGTTAGCAGCATATTAAACTCCCTTAGTGATTTTTCTGATCTTCCTTTCTGTTCAAGTTCAAGCTGCTTAGCCAAGCCGCCAGGGGCTCATGACCCGGATCATTGGCTTCCTTTCTCTCTGCACCCACGTGCTCTCTACTTTCCAACCTTTCCAAATTTGCAGTCCTCTGCCCATGCTGCTCCTTCCTTCTCTATGACTTTGCACATGTGTTCCCACCCCTGGGACTGCTCTTCCCCACTGGTTGCCCTCATGAGGGGCTCTTGCCTTGAGGGGGTCCTCAGGCCCCCTCCCTCCTCACACAGCAGGCACTTGCTCCAGCAGTGACTGTACTGCATTGCTGAGACCTGCTTTCTCCTTTAGTCCCTCACCTTCACCCTAGGATGGGGGTATCCTTGAAGGAGAGACCACTTCTCAAATTTTTAAATAGAATTTTATTGATTTATCATTAATTTAGGAAACTATAAAAATGTTGGGGGTGCATCTTTGCCTCTGTGTGAATAAGCCTCACCTCACCACTGCCCTTCCTCCCACACCCTCCCCTGCCCTTCCTTTGGTAACCATTTTTCAGAGTCTAAAATTATTTTTGTTTCTTGTTAGTTCACTTGCTTTGGTTATTTACATTCTACACATTAGGAAAACCACTCAATGATTGTCTTTCGCTTTCTGACTGATTTTGATTATATGATCTCTTCAAGTTCCATCCCTGTTGTTACAAAAGGCAACAACGTTTCATCTTTTTCAGAGCTGAGTAGTATTCCATTTAATACATATACCACCACTCCTTTACCCAGCATCTGTCAATGGGCATTGAGGTTGGTTCCACCACTTGGCTATTGTGAAGAATATGCTATGAACGTGGGTGGTATAAATCTTTTCAAATCAGTGTTTTCCTATTCTTTGGAGAAAAGCTGAGCAGTGGTATTGCTGGGTCACGTGGGGCTTCACTCGTAGTTTGTTGAGGACCTCCACGCTGTTTCCCACATAGGCTGCCCCAACTTACATTCCCACCACAGTGAATGAGGTTCACTGCTGCCTCGACAACACCTATTATTTCCAGTCTTTTTTGGTGTAGACCATTCTCATGGGGGTGAGGTGTCTCTCCTCCGGTTCTGATTTACATTTAGGAGAGACCATTTAGACAGGAATAAAATAGCTCCACACCCCCAGGGTCCAGCCCAGAGTCTGCTAGTGGAGGAAGCTCCATCCACCCCCAAGAAGGATGAGACCGTGTGAGTGGGGAGCAGGACCATCGAAATGCCAGCCTTTGATAGGCTGCGAGCTCCTTCTGCGACTTACTAAGAAACGTGTTCTTTAGGGTGCCCGAGGAGGCAGCCACTGGGCAGCTCCTCAGATGAGCTTCCTTTTGGCTATTGGCCGATGGCTGGCTTGGCTGTGGCATCTACATTGAGGCAAACTTCCACCTGACAGTGCTTGATTTAATAGAACCCCCAGTTTCCTATCAGCCCTGACATGCCCAGGAAACAAGACAGCAAATTAGAGAGACGGAAACCCCACTCTGGTGCAAGCCAAGATTTAAAAGCTCCTGTAGCCATTATTTATGGAGTTTGGGTTTCTCTTTAACCCTTGGGTGAGGACAGGGTGGCTTGCAGGCCCTAAATACTAATGAATTTCATGCTGTGTCCTGCCTCCTGGCGTGACGGGCCTAATAAATGTCCCTGCCTTTGTGTGGGGACATCTCTCTGCTAATTGCTGTCGGTGTCCATCAGGATCACCCAGAGCGCCACGTCTCAGCCACAGGGGTCTTGGGGCTGAGCTCCATTGCCAGGAGATTGTCGCTTTGGGGGAGGGAGGTCCACTCAGCAGGCTGTACCTGCTGAGTCTGGACCAGTCCCTGCAAACTGTGTACCTTGGGGTCCTGGGAGAGGCCTGAGCAGCCATGGGGGGACCCGGGGTGGCCGAGCTGGGGGTGCTAATTTCCATTAGCCTCATAATCTGACCAGTTCCCCTTTATCTCTTTTAAGATCAGAGAGACCAGCCCTAAAGGGGTTCCCAGGATTCCAAAAGAAGTTTGCAAACATGATCTCATCTAATTCTCATCTTTAAGAGGTAAATAGACACAGCCTGGGGGGCTGGCGGTGGGTCAGGAGGAAAAGACCACAAGGTCAAGGGGAAAATCAGGTCTGTCCGGGGACATGGACATTCTCCAGACTGTGCAGGGACATTTTCTCCCCTACCTTTCCCACGGCCCACGCCCACGTGCTTTACACTTGAACTAGAGCAGGCGCTCCTGCTCCGGACCTCAGAGACTGGGGAAGTGATGCGAATTGAGCCTCCGGAGGGCAGGACCTTCACAGGTGCAGCACCGGCCAGGGATCCGCAGACTTCCTCCCATTTATTTAGCAAAAATTTACTGGCTGGACATTAATCCCTGAGAGCACAGGGCAAAACAAGATGTGGGTCCTGAGCTTAGAGAGCTTATATTCCAGGGGGGCACAGGGAGAGAAACACATTCGTATGTTACCAGAAGAATAATCGCAAGCATTGTTTATCACAAGGACAGACACGACATACTGTGGGGGGCACCATGGGGCCGGGCCGGGCCAGGGCTGACCCTTTCACAGACAGGCTGGGGGCAGGGGGTGGGGGTGTTCCTTGGGCCAGGCCAGGAGATTCAGAGAAGAAAATGTGCCCCCAGAGGCCCTGGGCAGAGGGGGTGTCATTTTGGAGGCGCCTGTGGGGCCATGGGCCTCGGTTGTCTTTCCCTTCTCCCCAGGCTCCCCAGTCCCCCCAGCCACTCCCCTAGGATGGATGCTCACATTTGCACCACAAGGCCACCCTCTCTGGCCCCGCCATGCTTCTCTCTGGTGCGCCCCAGCTCTAAGTCCCCTCTCCCCACCCCTCCTGCCCCCATGGAAGATGCTCCTGGCTCTGCTCGGAGGCTCTGGGCTGCCAGCTTTCCTCCTGCACTGGGGCGATTCTGTCTTGTTTTGACACCCCACTTTACCATGTGCCCCCTGCTGGGCTCCCTGCCCTCCCTCATGGGATCACATCTTCGCGGTCCGCTTCCTCCTCATCTCCCATCCCTCTGCCAGCTCCCCTCCTCCTGGGCTGACTGGTCACCCTCCGGGAGCTGCTCTGCGGGGCGGCCGGGCCCTCCTCTCTGCCATCACCTTTGCGTCCTGGCCAGATTGCGGAGCTGGTGGCTTTGTTCTCTTGAGGCTCTCCCGGCTCCACCCTCCCAGCCAACCTGTCCTCCCAGGCTGCTCCTGCCGGCTCCCCTGCTCCAGGCTTGGTGTGGGCCCCAGGGTGCTGTTCTGGGTGGCTCTGCTTTCTTTCCCTGCACATTCTCCTTAGGTGACCTCATCCATTCCCCTGGCTTTAAATACCATCTTCCTGATGATGACTTCCAAATTTATACCACTGGCACTAACATCCTGAGCTGCAGACTCATATATCCTGAGGCTTGACATCTCCACTTAGATGACTAATGGGCATCTCAACTTAATACATCAAAAAAAGCCTCAAATCCCCACCTTACCTCCAGCAGGTTGTTCCTTCCCTACTTTCGCCACCTTGGTAAATGTCACCATCTTCTCCCCAATCGCTCATGTCCAAGTCACAGGGTCCTCTTGAATTCATCTCAGTGCTTCACACCCACTGCCAGCCCCAGCCGAGACCGGGGCTGCTCTTCCAGAGAGGGCCCGAGCTGCCCTCTGCCTGCGTCCTCCCTGCTCCTGCTGGCCCTCGCTGCTGCCTCACGCCCTCCAGCCCTCACGACCAACTGTCCCCACCCCGGCTCCACATGGCCTGTGCTGCCTCCCCATCAGGACACAGCAGACGGGTTTGGTGGGGGGGTGGGGTGGGCAGCAGTGGACGAAGGTGGAGGGTGATTGGTGGGTGTGGTGCGATAGGCAGTATTATGACCAATGTTTCCTCCACAAAAAAGATAGTTAAAAATATACAAAGGCCCTCCCCTGGTGGCACAGGCAGTTGAGCGCCACACTGTGAAGCTGTCCACAGCCTCTGCAGCGCTGGTTCGATCCCGGCCAGCTGATGAGGTTCCCACATGGTCCAGCAGACCTCTCCTGTCGCACCCGCTGCTCCCCTCAGCAGTGTATTTCATCAGTCTGCCTGTTCTGTTCCCCACTCTGTCTCGGGTGAATCCTCTCACCCTCCCGTGCATCTGGCCTGTACCCTGGTTCTTGTATAAATAAATAAATCTTAAAAAAATTTTTTTTTCTATCGCTGCGCAACAAATGGCTAGTCTTGCCAGCATGCACAGTGGCTGCATGAAATTGGCTGCCTCTCTGCTTTGCTTCCCTGTTTGCCTGGGAATCAGCCATCCTGGGGGCTGTGGGTGGGGAACAGAGGACAGTTTCTGACTGAGCCAGAAGCAGAATAAAGTCATCCAGAACCTTTATCCTGCCCCAGGAGAAGTACAGCAGCTTCAGGAGAAATATGTGGACGCACCAGGAGCAGGATGTCAGAAGGGCGTGCGGACAAAGGGAAATATAAACATCTGGGAAGAGAGTGGCGACCTGGGAGCTCCGTGGTGAGGGGTCCCGGCCCCCATCATTGTCGCCAGGCTGTGTCAGCGCCTGAGGCAGGGAGTCACTGGAGGATCTGCGGGGTGCTCACGCGCAGCGACCTGGCTGGGTCCTGCTCAGGGCAGCTCCCGCAGGTGCAGTGCGGGAGAAGGTGGTGAGACCTGCCTCCCCATCGCGGGGGGCTGCCGCCTCCAGGCTCTCCAGTGGGGCCGGCCATGCGGCTCTTCTTCAGGGAAACATCCCTCCCAGCGAGGCAGGGAAGAGGAGAGGTGGACAGGGATGGAGGGCAGGCAGAGGCCGGGGACGCAGGCCCAGGCGCATGTGGGTGTCGGGTGGGGACCCCTGCGAGGGGCCAGGCTGTCAGGCCAGGGCCCCAGCCCAGGGCAAGCTCTGCTCTCAGATCCTCTGGTTTCTTTGGAAGGATGCCCCGGGAGAATATCGACAAGATCAACTTAGGAACAAAGCAAAAGTCGATTCGTACATTTAGTTTCTCGACCAGTATGACAAGTGTTACGTACAAAATTGCTTTTAAAAGACACTTCTTGTTCTTTCATCCAGCATCAGCTGACAGAGTCCAGGAGTCGCTCTGACGAGTTAGAGGCAGGTGTCACCTGCCTCCTTGTCACGTCCTGATGAAAAGCCGCCCAGGGCGCCAGCCTGACGTCTGACACTGCTCCCCCAGGCCATGGGACCGTGGGCTTGTCACTCAGCTGCTCTGCACCCCCTCTTCATCCCAAACATTGGGCGTCAAGAGCAGGCATATCAGGGTGTCTCTGTGGGAAGGAAGGAGACAGCACTTCAAGGGCGAGGGGCTTTCGTCCAGAGGGATGCGGCCTGCGCCCCCAGACTCTGTGGCTCGGATGACCTGCCGAGCTCCGGGGAAGTGAACAGAGCAAAGCAGAGGCCTGGGGTGACGCCATCAGGCCCCATAAAATAGGTGTCTTCACATTTCTCTGTGTTTGGGGTTGAAACTGAGTGAGGACAGAGAGAACGAGAAAGTCTCAATAGTCTGTTGCTTTGGGTGGATTCTTTATACCGTCAGGACTGGGGGGCTACACTCCAGACTGAGCTGGGGACTCAGACTTCTTTGGTGGCCTAAGTGGGCCTGCACCTGGCCAGGTGTACCCTGAGGTGCCCACCCACGCAGGACCCGGCAGAGTCCACCAAGGGCCACCCCCTGCTATGGGTTCTGCCCTGACTTACGGGGTGGGAACTGCACAAAGGTATGGACTCAGGAGGTGGCGATCCCAGGACCACCTAAAGGTCCTCTGCTTGGCTCTTCCACCTTTGCCTTGGCTGGCAATAGCTTAATGGTGCTGAGACTTTAACCCCTGCACCGCCAGGGAGGCCCACATGGACCACCTTAACCATTGCCACGTGTGTCGTTCAGGAGGCTTGTAGCGGCGGGAAGGCCACAGGGCAGGTTCTCTGTGACCGAGCAGATGGGGTATGAAGTCCTGGAGCCCTTGGTGGCTTTTCAGGCTTTTATTGGGATTTTTCAGGTACACGGCAGGCAGGGGTGCTGGGGGGCTGGGAGGCTGGCAGTCTCCCAGCCCCTGGCAAGTCTTCACTCTGTCTGGGCTCTACGGCGTTCTCTGGTGGTCTCTGCTTCTCTGCTCTACTCGTGGTTCTTTCTGCTTCTTTGCTCTCCTCCTACTGTTTGCTCTCCTGGAGTCCCTGTGATGCCACCCTTGTTAAGTCCAGCCTTAGCCCAGGTGTACCCACATATGCATGCCCACACCCTACTCCAGGTGCCGCCATCAGGCATGTATTCAGGACCGCAAGGATCCATCATCAATCCTAATGGCAGGAGGGCAGAAAAGCCTGAAAATTACTTACCCTACAAGGTTCAAATATTCACATTGTCTAGAACTTTCTGATGCTGCAAAAGAGAAACTCCATAGTCATTCAACAACTTGCCTTTTCCTTCTGTAATTCCCACTGTTTCTGGGTTTGAGCACATTAGGTACCTCGTGTAAGTGGGGTCATCCATTGTGTCTGGCTAATTTCACTTGGCATGATGTCCTCAAGGTCCATCAAGGTGGTAACATAGGATTTTTCTTTTTTTTTAAAGACTGAATAATATTCCAGTGCATGTCCTATGTCACGTCACTTGTCTGTCCATAGTTAGACACTATTATCTGCATTTTTCAGGTGAGGACACTGAGCCACACAGAGGGCAAAGAATTTGCCTGTTAATAAGGGGTGGGGCTAGGTTTGAACTCAGTAGGTATAGGGTAAGGTAAAAATTATCAGGCTTTTCTGCTCTCCTGCCATTGATGATGGATCTGTGGTCTTGAATGCATGCCTGAGGGTGGACACCTGGAGTAGGGTGTGGGCATATGTAGATGGGATTCACATGGGCTGAGACTGGGCTTAGAAGGGCAGCATCACGGGAACGCCAGGAGAACAGAGCAAGAGGAACAGCAGAGAGCGGTAGAGCAGAGAGAACAGAACAAGCGAGAAGCAGAGGCCAAGGGAGAACGCCAGTGAGCACAGAAAGAGTGAAGGCTTGCTGGGGGCTGGGAGGCCTGCCAGCCTCCAGGCCCCCCAGCACCC